TTACTGTTGAAATAATTAAATATAAGCACCACTTCTACTCCAACAGTTTCTTTCCTCGCACTTCCCAACATTATATATATATATATATATATATATATATATATGATTTGTGTATACGGAATAAATTCCAATAACCAATTGAACATCATAACTTGATAAGACACCAGAAGTGTTGAAACAAAATGGCTATTTTTGTAGTGATAGCATAATTATGTAATAATTTTAAAGAAATTAAATAATATATATATATATATATATATATATATATATATATATATATGCACATTTCATTGAATACGACAGACAAGATTTTTTGATTTAGTTTTTTAGACAATTTCTCATTTGATCTAATAGTTTTCTTTTCTTTTCAGGTGGTAAATTATGTAAAAAACTGTCCAATTGTTCTTTTTTATCCGAGCGCTTTCGGCTATACATTTAGGTTTTATCAAGGTTGAAATATGTTAACTGAAAATCTTTTGAAAATAAAAACATTATATAAATACATGCATACAACAAACTATTTCTTGTTAACAGATAATATATTTCATATAGAAAAAAAATGTACATATGAAAATATATATATATATATATATATATATATATATATATATATATATATATATATATATATAAATATATATATATATATATATATATATATATATATATATATATCTGTGTGTGTATAGTTACTTCGTAAATGTATCATATTAATATATATAATATATATATATATATATATATATATATATTAATAGATGTATATATACCTACTTTTGGTCTGCGATTGAAGTTGAATTGGTTACACAACTCTTCAGGCACAAGACGTAACTTATTTTATGCGGTCGCTAGTATCTATTTATTTCGTTTACATATATATATATATATATATATATATATATATATATATATACAGAGTAACCCGGATATAAGAGACCCGGATATAAGAGAAACCCGGATATAGAAGAGATTTTCACTAGTCCCAAATTAGAGCCTGTGTTACCTAAACAAAATAGACCAAACCCAGATATAAGAGAAACGCGGATATAAGAGACTTCTTCTCCGGTCCCGGCAACTCTCTTATATCCGGGTTACACTATATATATATATATATATATATATATATATATATATATATATATATATATGAGAGTTGTGCAGGAAATTGTGGATACGTATGATCTTCTCCTTTCCTTTGGCAGCAGGTGTTATATAAATACCGGCTAACGGGTAATGACTTCTCTCTGAATGTGGGGCCTTTGATGATTTTGAGGCCCGCCCTACTTAGACAAACGCGATCACATTTATGAAGCATTAGATCAAGATATAAAAATGCACATTTATTGTCTACTAAACACGTGACTCGATTTAAATTGAACGACAAAGCCCATCATATGTCATGGTGACATTAAATTTGCATGGTCAATTCAATAGCCCACTTTCCTTGATATAAACCCCAAATTCGTACCTAGTTTGTTATTATAGGCGTCGTGTAATTTGAATCTTCTCTTTATAATCACTTCCCATGAAATGTAATATTTCTCAAAAATGCGTATTTTGAGGAAAATGAAAGTGCTGTTTGTTCAACGCTCAAAAAGCTAAATACTTAAAATACATTTTCAGTTAAAAATCCAATACGACTCTGTTAATAATTTCATTTCTTCAACCCCTTTCACTATTTCAATCCATATTTTATAACTTTCAGGAAGTAGCGGCATCAACTATTTATCAATCGCTTCCGGTTGGCGCTTTCAACTAAAGTTGAAATACAGTTTTCACTGTTTATTTCTTCTATCGACGAATTTATTTACAATCTAACTTTTTAAAAAAAATTGTTTACTAAAATTGTTTTGCAAGCGATTTTTTGATCCCGAATTGATTTTACATATCTCCAATTCTGGAACATGTGGATCTGCTATTTACCTTGAGTTCCTTGATAAGATCCAAAGAAGAATCAGTAATATTATTGCTCCTAATCTGGGGGCTTGGCTTCAGTCACTTTCTCACCGTCTTATAGTTGCCATCCTTTGCCTTTTCTGACATGAATTGGAAAGACTATATTGAATTCATTGCTTAGATAGCTGTTATTTTTCTCTCCGGCAACTATATTATATATTTATGTCTACCATTCGTCCATGCTTAGAGTATTGCTGCCACATATGGACCCGGTGCTCCCTTGAGTTCCTTGATAAGATTCAAAGAAGAATCAGCAATATTATTTGTCTTGATCTATCGGCTTGGCTTCAGTCACTTTCTCACCGTCGTATGGCTGCTTCTCTTTGCCTTTTCTGACATGAATTGGAAAGACTATATTGAATTCATTGCTTAGAGAGCTGTTAATTTTCTCTCAGGCATCTATCTTATATATTTATGTCTACCATTCGTCGTCCATGCTTAGAATATTTCTGCAACATATGGATCTGCTATTTACCTTGAGTTGCTTGATAAAATCCAAAGAAGAATCAGTAATATTATTAGTCCTGATCTGGCGGCTTGGCTTCACTCACTTTCTCATCGTCGTATGGTTGCCTCCCTTTGCCTTTTTCAGACATGAACTGGAAAGACTGTCTTGAATTCATTGCTAGGCCATTGCTTAGCTTCTGTCACTTTCCATCCTCCATAAGCTACCTTTTCTATAAATACTTTCCTGGCAATTGTTTGGGTGATCACTTCGCTGTGGTACCTGGATTTTTTGAATTTAAGCGCAGTACTGGACTGGCGTCAAGATCTCAGTAATTTAAAGTTGAGCAGGTTAGTCGTATGTTCTATGCTAACAGTTTATTTTATCGTACTTCTCGCTTGTGGAACTCCCTTCTGGCTTTATGCCTTCAAACCAACTTTAATCAGCAATGATTTAAATGCAATACTATCCAGTGAACTTCTGATAACTGTTTTTATTCTTGCTTCTTTGTAATGTTTTTGTTCCTAATTCCGCCAGTATTTTTCAATTTTTCACTACAGAATCTATCTTACATATCTATACGTTTGCCATTCGTCCGTGCTTATTTTATTGCTGACCCTTATGGCTCGGTGCTCCTGCTATTTACCTTGAGCTCCTCGATGAAATCCAAAGAAGAATCAGCAATATTATTAGTCCTGACCTGACAGCTCAGCTTCAGTTAATTTCCTACCGGATTAAGGTTGCTTATCTATAATTTTGCTATGAATAATTTCCTGGTTATCGTTCGGATGAGATCTTCGCTATGGGGTTTAAATTTTTATTTAAACACATTTGTCGTAAATAATGAACGGGGCCATTTTATAGTCACCTGTGCCTTACATTATTTCCAGTTAAGTCATGTTTTTGCATTTACATTTATATATGTAGCGAAGTAATCGTTCTAAGTAACGGGTTAATCGAAGTAAGTACTATGTAATTTGTTGCGATATAAATTCACATGATCTTAAGTAAAAAAAAAAAAGAAAGTTGTTTTCGTAATTATTAAAGTGGTTTACTGTTAAGAATTTTTGTTTCTTTCTATTGAATAATCCAATGTTATATCTCTTAAAAAAGTTGGTTCACTGTCTCGTACTAGACATGTTTTTCTCTCCAGAGTCTATCTTGCATATCTATAAGTCTATAATTCGTCCATGCTTAGGATATTGCTGCCACATATGGTCCAGTGCCACTGCTATTTACGTTGAGCTCCTTGATAAAATTCCAAGAAGAATCAGCTATATTATTGGTCCTGATCTGGCCGTTCGGCTCCAGTAACTTTCCCACCGCAGTCAGGTGGCCTCCTTTGGCCTTTGCCTAAATACTTATGTTAACCTGTTCGGATAAGCTCTTCGCTATTGTGATTTAACTTATTGAATTTATAGAGTGGCGTTGAGATCTCATCAATTTTTGCTAGACTAATGTTGTTGTCTCATGAATTTACAGTTGTGCTGGCAATACGTAGACGGAAGTTCTAACAGTTTATTTTCTCATATTCCTCAATTGTCAAGCGCCCTTTACGCTCCATGATTCCAGACAACTTTAACCTGCAAAAATTTAAAAGCAATGTCATTCGCTATCTACTCTACTCTTGATTATTCTTTCTTCCCTGTAGCCCCCTTATGTCTTAAAAAAAATTTTATTGCCTTGCATCGATTATAAAAAAAAATGACACATTTTTTTTGTCGAGATTTACAATCTCTACTCTCGCTACTGGTTTTATATTTACAGTGCCACACAGGGCATTATATTTTACAAGAATTATATATATATATATATATATATATATATATATATATATATATATATATATAAGGAAGAAGGTTATTGCAGTTCCAACGACAGAAAAGTATGTATAAAAAATAATGATTAAAATAACAAATACTTATTTAATAAAAATGCAATATTATTTTGAATATCTTTTATATATATATATATATATATATATATATATATATATATATTATATATATATATATATATATATATATAAAATAAAAGGACATCGCAAACGTTTTTTGGTTTTAATGTGGATTTTAAAAAAAATATTATGCTTTACTTTCCATATATATTTTTGTTTATGAAAAATAAAGCATAATATTTTTTTTAAAAAAGTCCACATTACAATTAAAACTAAAAAACGTTTATATTTTAAAATATATATTATATATATATATATATATATATATATATATATATATATAGAGAGAGAGAGAAAGAGAGAGAGAGTTATGGAAAAGGCATTTATTAAATAAGTATTTGTTATTTTAATCATTATTTTTTTTTTAAATAGTGGGAGTATTTTGCATGTTAAATAATAAAACTTTTAAAATTAAAAAAAAAATAAAAAAATAATGAAAATATACTCTGTCATTTGAGGATTTGGGTTTTTATTTAGGATTTACCAGACATTAAGCCTAGCCGACCTCCTAACAAGATATTCACTGAAATGGCTAATTATCTTTGATTGACTTTTACTTTTTTGTACTTGTTAGGTATTTATTTCCTGGTGTATTTAAATACTATTGTATCTTAACAGTGAAATCTTGAGTTTTACAGTACGTCACAAAAAATAGATAATTACATAAAAGGATAGATAGATAGATAGATAGATAGATAGATAGATAGATAATGTCATATAGGAAAAATATGAGTAACTACCGACACGGAGATTCGAGCGTGACACTCTGTACTTATGCATATATGTTTTCAGCCAAGTTGTATAAGTAGCATTGTCAGGCTACTGACTGCAGTGATTACTGAGCGGAACTATCTAGTCGAATTAGTTTGGATTATTGTGCGTCGATTATTTAGGTTTTGATTTAGGATTTATCGGGCGTTAAGCCGTGCCACGCTACTAACAAGTTTTTCAGTGAAATGGTTACTTATCTTTGGTTGAGATTTTTTTTGTTCTTGTTAGGTAATTATTTGCGGTTGTATTTAAATACTGTTGCATCTTAACTATGATGTCCTGAGTGTTACTTAATTATTAATGGCCGTTGCACGTCAAATATATATATATATATATATATATATATATATATATATATATATATATATATATATATAGATAGATAGATAGATAGATAGATAGATAGATAGTGTCATATAGGAAGAATATGAGTAACTACCGACACCGATGTTCGAGCGTGACACTCTGTACTTAAGCATATATGGTTTCAGCAAAGGTGTATAAGTAGCAGTGCCAGGCTACTGACTGCAGTGATTACTGAACGGAACTATCCAGTCGAATTAGTGTGAATTATTGTGCGGCGATTATTTGAGTTTTGAATTAGGTTTTACCGGACGTTAAGCTGAGCCACGCTACTAACAAAATATTCACAGAAATGGTTAATTCTCTTTCGTTGATTTTTAATTCTTTGTTCTGGTTCGGTATTTATTCGCGGTTGTATTTAAATACTGTTTTATCTTAAATTTGAAGTCTTGAATTAGACTTAATCCTTAACGACCACCGTACGTCACAAAATACCTTCAGACAGTAAATAAATGGTCAAAAGGAAATTTTACGGAAAAAAGCCGGCGACTAAACAAAATTTCGATTGCTTTACACTGCAATCGCAAAATGTGTGAATTTTATCAACATTGTAGAGTAAATAAGTATGATTTAAATATAAGCAAAATGAATAGATATGCAATTTAGGAAAGTTTTAATTTAGAGCCAGGCAAAATATTAAAAAAAAAAAGATATGTCAAAAAGGAAGAATTTTTTTCTTGGTATCACATTTAGAATGTAATTCACCGGAATTGTTTTAATTCGAAAGCGTTTTTGTGTATCGAAGGATACGTTCTTAAAACCATGAAAAGTATTTAAGAAAGCAGGAAGAAATCCAGTAAAAACAGAGAAAAGACTACTGGATTCTTACATAATGTCTGTCCTCCTATGTGGCAATGAATACTGGACAATCTCCTGATAGATGAAGAAGAGACATGAACCAACTGAAATGTGGTTCTAGAGAAAGTTGCTGAGAATACATGGAATCGAATATATAAACAAAGTTTATAGAAAATGAAAACAAAATGGACACTTAAAATCAGAAAGAGTTAAAATATCAAATCGTATAATGAGGAAAACGTGCTTGGAAAATTTGATACTCACAGGACAGATTGAAAGCAAGAGGCACACGGAAAAACATCATATAACCTACCTTTCGAGCTTGAGGAAATGAATCACAAAACAAGGTTGTCCTCATCTATCTACCTTGCTCTCAATATGACCTGTGAGAATTAAGTTTACGAAGCCCTGTTTTTTATTAGTATCCATGAAATTTTAACGATTTTTTTAAAAATTTCTAATTCGGAGTATACGTGTTTTTTTGTCTTTTTTTTTTCTTAAAGAGTTCATTGTTGCTTAGTCGCTTTTTCTGTGGAATTCTCAGTATCCTTCTGTAGAACCACATTTCTGGTACCTCCAGTTTCTTCCTCATTCGTAGCAAGATCGTCCATCATTCACTTCCATACCAGAGGATAGATATAACAGAGCAATTATGTACTCTTCGTTTCTAACGAAATGTAACTGTTTCTAAGCACGTTGTTTAAATTTTGAAACGCATATTTCACTAACACGATGGGCATTCAGATGTCAGTGTTTCATTTATTATCGTCTGGAAATGTTTAAAATTCTGTAGCTGTTGGACGTTGGCATCTCCTATTCGCATTTTACATCTTAAGCGTTATTTCTCTTGCCGATAAACATACTTTTTTTTTCTCTTCCTACAAATGAAGTTTAGGATAACCCTAACATTATAAACACGATCACCGGGAAAAAAAAATAAACTAAAAAAAATCATGAAGATGTAAACGTTATATTCATTCAAATCACGCAAAATTTCATAAAAATATTCATTTTAACGAATCAATTATACATGAGAAAAATTATTTTTCTGACTTCACTAATACACACTAAAAGAAATTCCTTTGACATGCGCAGAACGATAAAAAAATATCACTGTCGATGCATATATCATTCTCTTTAGATTCGAGATGACTGTGTCGATATTATATTTAATTTCTAATACACAAAAGACTTTTGGTTCTCTATGTACCTGGTCATAAATGAATGAAATATTTCGAAAACTAATATTTGATGCGAATTTACCAAAAATTTTTTCTGAAAAAATCTCTTTGATAAAACTAAGCAAGTTAGACATCGAATATCGTTAAAAATCAATCGAATATCAATTTTTATCTTGTAAATATCATTTTGAAGCTTGTCGCCAAATCCTTTGCCTTTGAAGTGAAATTATATGAAAATTGATTCAGGCAAACCCTTACCTATATATATATATATATATATATATATATATATATATATATATATATATATATATATATATATATATATATATATATATATGTATGTATGTATAATTCATTTTTATTGACATTAAAAGAAAAATTGCATATTTCATGATAAAAAATAAAATCTCTCTTTCACTTGGGAATAATTGGAAAATATTAATGACGATTTTTTTAAAATTAAAAAAAATGAAACCATTATAAAGGGAAGTAAATCTAGCTTATTACCTCAAATTAAATTCTGTCTTTCGCAGAAGTAACCCAACAAACAGAAGTTGTTGGCAACTCTCATCTTGGTAGGTGATTTTTGAATAGTAAACATTTGGGGTCATATCAGGAGTCATTACGATGTTCGTTTGGATAGGTATCGTTAATTGAACGACATATTACAGCATGTTAGGTTATTTTATGTCAAATGCAAATAAATTTGGGGAGAAGTCGTAGCGGATTCATGTATAGTAATAAAGGTCCAATCTTAAAAAGCAGGCATAGTTTAGGTCCATAGCAGATTGGAAAAAGAGACATTTACACATCCTTTAAAAAGGTAAACATCGTTCCAGTTTTTCCTAAATTCAAAAGTGAAACTCAGTCTTGATTTGCATTCTATTCGAGAAAGATACAATGTTTTCCTTTATGCCTTTTGCCTTCAGACTCTTCTGTCCTTTACACATCATTAAAAAAAATGTAGACATCGGTCCAGTTTTTCCTAAATTCAAAAGGAGAGACACAGACTTGATTTGCACACTATTTGACAAAGATAGATGCAGCTCTAGTTCGCACTAGATTCAAGAAATGTAGACATCTGTCCAATTTGCAACAGAGTCAACAAATGAAGACAGTGGTTCGATTTACACAAGACACAAATAGGTAAACAACAGATCGAATTAAACTACAGTCAGCAAAAGCAGAAATTGGGACGATTTACACTAGTCAAAACTATTGACATAAGTCAGATTTAGTCAACAAAATTATAATGTTGATAAACGAATCTACAAGTAAAAATAAAATAAGCTTTGACTTCATCGAATGATTATGGGGTTCCACCAAAAGAAATTAAGGCAAAAAGTGGCACATAAGTAAAAAAAAAAAAAGAAATATTTGAGAACCACTGTACTAAAATCACCAAAGCTAGATATAAAACCGATTTTCAAAGATGTATTCATTCGGTCGAGTTAGTTGGGACAGTCACGAGTCTATCACGCCAAACAGCACGGTTCTGCATTAAGGTCGGAAAGTAATTTATGTGATATTGTCTGTCATAACATATCTAGTCACTGTAGGTGGTTGATGGAAAAGTATTTCTAATTTAAATTTAGTTTTTGAATCTATCGGGACTTTTAGATGGAATCTCGTTATGGCCACTACCACTGTTATTTATCCCTGATCCCGAGGTTTGGCTTGACAATAATAATAACCTTGTCGGCATTAAATTATCTACTGAGGTTGATATACCGTAAAACAAACCTAATCATCCTACAAACCATATATGCCTATGTATATTCCCTATGTAGTAAGGGTAAACGTTGTACTAAATAAATAATAATTGGACTTATACTAAGTTACAACTTAATCGATAAAATCGTTCCTGCTTGAGTCCTACTACCGACAAATGACAAACTGTAGTTTAATACAAACTCCATGAAACACCATAGCCGTAGTGAAGGCAACCCATCTTTGAGAAGGAAAATTTCAATGAAACCACGAGTAAATCCTTTAAATCAACTGCTACTGGAATATATGATAGCAATCAGGAATAAATGTTGACAGAATTAATTTCAACTCGAGGATTTAATTTGCAGCATGGCCGGCGTTTCTTGATTCAAAAATAGTACGAATAAGCATACAGACTTATTTCTAAAATATTTTGCCACAGACCCTTTTTAAAGAGGTGCCCTTGCGTGCTAATGTTCCAAATATATCACAGTTTTTCTAAGCTCTTAAAAATTAAATCTGTTACGAAAAAAAAAGAATAACAAAAATAAACACAATACGATCAGCTTTAAAAACCGGAAAAAACATTTTTTTATTTAGATTTGCACTCTGTTTGGTGGGGGTTATCAGAGCGTTTCCCATGATGACTCAATGGCCTCTTCATAAATTCGGGTTTCGGTTTCTGCTGATTCAAAAATCGTACGACTAACACTAAGACAGCAATCGATCATTATCAGAATTTTTGATTATCGATTTTTTCGATTACCGATTTAAAATTCCGAACTTTGGGCTCCGTCCTGTCAGCCATTTGCAAACTTGTGTTGAAAACCGCATCGAAATCGGTGAGAATGCTGCCTGGGCGAGGTAACAACGCCCGACAGACACACAGACAGACAAAAAGAAATATAGA